TGCAAGTTCTGAAGTGGCCACCGTACCCTGAGTGTGTGCAGTTCACAGCAGCAACAAAAAGGGGCGAGCAAAATTAAATTCCCATTAGCCGACTTGAACGACTGACCTCGTCATTACTAGTGACGCGCTCTACCAACTGAGCTAAACGGGAGTTGTGATTATGCTTCCGTTATATCCATAATGCTTGTCTTCACACCCTGAACGCGAAAGAACCCGCCCTAAATTCGATTAATGTTCGTACTCGCGTCTCATTCAAGGTCTTCACTTCATCCACATTATGTCTGGCTTCGACGCGAACCGTGTCTTCACTGTCAATGTTCATGACCCACCAGCTCCAACCTCGACAGACAGACCTTCGGAGACCGAAAAGCTCCTTCTCGAGTTCTTGCTGCAGTACAGAGTGGGAGGTGGATTCATTTACAGGTCTGCTTCCTCAGATTTTGAATGTACCTGGGAGTCTGATCGTGCCACAGAGACAAGCTTCGTGGAAATCTTCTCTTGAAGCAGTATCAGCTAGAAGTAGACCTTCGCCACCTTGGCTTGTACAATGACGAACTTGCACATGCAATTCAAGATCGACCAGCAGACATTCTTCCACTGGTAGGTCATACTTGATGGTCACGCGCCCGCGTCTCACACCCACGCGATACCCAGTTTGAAAATGCGGCCACTAAGGCTGCTCGGGCAATCCTTTTCCCCCTTGCAGGCAGTTCCGACGAACGAGCAGAATCGGCACTCCAATCCATCCCCAAAGTCCAAATAACGATCCAATCTGGACTAAACATGCAGCGCTTTCGTGACCTCACCGCGGACACGATGAACAAATTGGTCCGCATACCAGGCATTGTGATATCAGCTTCTGTCCTCTCCTCTAGATCCACAAAGCTCCATCTTCAGTGCCGTGCATGCAAGTCGACGAAAATCATATACCCCTCTGGAGGTCTTGGGGGGATTGGCAGTGGTTCAGATCGGGGTCTTCCAAGAGTCTGCGACGCTCCTGAGTTGGAGAATCAGAAGAAAGACTGTCCGCTTGACCCGTATATCGTTGTTCATTCCAAGTCGAGCTTTGTGGACCAACAGACTCTTAAGCTCCAGGAAGCTCCTGACATGGTACCTGTTGGAGAACTTCCTCGTCATATGCTCCTGTCCGCGGATAGATATCTAACGGGAATAGTCGTTCCAGGATCACGCATCATTGCCACTGGGATCTATTCGACATTTAACTCAGCAAAAAACGTAAGTTCGCAATTCACTTTCCAAGTCTCTATTAAGTGTGGAACGCAGAAATCTAGCGGCCCAGCTGCCCTTCGACAGCCATATCTTCGCCTTGTTCACATTGAATTATCTTCACCGTCTGCAGGTGGCGCAGGTTCAAATCCTTTCGGAGTGCAGTTCAGCCCTGAAGAAGAAGAGGAATTCGGCGAAATGGCACGAAGCGAAGGATTTTACGAGCGCTTCGCGAAAAGTGTAGCTCCAAGTATCTATGGGAGTCTAGGTAAATCCAAGTTCGCGTTGAGGGATAGGTTGTTGAATGCGATTTAGATATCAAGAAGGCAATCACATGCCTTCTATTTGGAGGCTCTAAAAAAGTGTTACCTGACGGAATGCGATTGAGGGGAGACATTAATGTTCTTTTACTCGGAGACCCTGGTACAGCCAAAAGTCAACTTCTCAAGTTTGTCGAGAAGGTAGGTTTATCTGCGTTTGTCTCGTCTTCTCGCCTAATAATATTCATAGGTCGCCCCAATCGCCGTTTATACATCGGGTAAGGGTTCGAGTGCAGCAGGTCTGACAGCTTCGGTGCAACGCGACGCGCTTTCTGTGAGTTTACAACAACCTAGTTTTCAAGGTTGCTGATCGCTACCTGGACAGCGTGAGTTCTACCTGGAAGGTGGTGCCATGGTCCTTGCCGACACTGGTGTTGTGTGTATCGATGAGTTCGACAAGATGCGTGACGAAGACCGTGTTGCCATCCACGAGGCGATGGAGCAGCAGACCATATCCATAGCGAAGGCTGGTATCACAACGGTCTTGAACTCCCGGACGAGTGTCCTTGCAGCGGCGAATCCAGTATGGGGCAGGTACGACGAAGGACGCAGTCCAGGCGAGGTACGTCACTATTGGTCTTGCTTGTGCCTCGACAGCTCACTCGATCTACTGCAGAACATCGATTTTCAAACCACGATATTGTCTCGTTTTGATATGATATTTATTGTCAAGGACGAACATAATGAGCAGCGTGACCGGGTTCGCCTCTCGATCCCTGTCCTGACTCTTTTCTTATCCTCCTTTTCCAGATGATCGCAAAACATGTCATGAACATTCACATGAACAGACCAAACCAGAACGCTGACGAGAACGGAGAGGTAGTCGGTGAGATTGATATCGACAAAATGAAGCGATACATTTCGTATTGCAAAAGGTAGCCTTGGTATTTTAGTTCAGAATCCCTGCTCATCAGGTTTTTAGGAGATGCGCTCCTCGGCTATCCCCAGACGCTCAGGAGATGTTGAGCAGCCACTTCGTTAGCCTGCGAAAGCAGGTTCAACAGGTTGAACGTGACAACGACGAACGAAGTTCGATACCCATCACTATTCGGTCAGTTTAACGCCTTCAGTTATCTTTCAGCCTTAATCATTAATGCTTACGTTTGTAGTCAACTGGAAGCTATAATTCGAATATCCGAGTCCCTCGCCAAGCTCACTCTGTCCCCCATTGTGCAGAACCACCATGTCGAAGAAGCCATACGTTTATTCAAATTCTCTACCATGGATGCCGTCTCGGCGGGTTCTGTTGATGGAATGTCTCGAGGCGAGCTCAACGAAGAGATGAGTCGCATCGAAAAGGAGCTTCGAAGGCGGCTCCCGGTAGGATGGAGTACGAGCTACCAGAGTCTAGTCAGGGAGTTCGTCACGCAGCAAGGCTATTCCAGTCACGCCTTGGAACGAACCCTGTTTATCTTGGAGAAGAGGGAGATCATTAAATTTAGTGGGCAGAAGAAGGTCGTGCACAGGTAGGTTTCTTCCCTCCAACACAAATTCCTCCCTTTGCTCATTACCGAACGCAGAGTTGGTGTATGATATATGACATTTGGTATAATCGTCGCTATTCGTTTTACAGGAATGTTATCGTGTATGTAATGTATTCCTTGGTATTTATGTGATTCTACTGTCGTGATATCAAACCCTTTCGCACAGATCACATCGCCCGCCTAGCTCAATCGGATAGAGCGTCAGACTCTTATGACTAGGCGATCTGAAGGCTGCGAGTTCGACCCTCGCGGTGGGCTATCAGTTTTTATTCTTTCAGCCTACTCCAATCTCCATCCCGCGATCACCAGAACCTAACAACGCTGAAACGTTGAATATCGAATCTCACTGACCAAGTTTCGCACTTTGCTTGAGTCTTCCTGGGCTAGGGCAACTATATAGGTGATTACTGACGAGACAGCTTGGAATTCTCGAACTCCTAGCTAGCCTCCAGGCTTTCCCACCACACCGTCACATGCACTGGCAGTACACAAGGGCCTGTGTTACTTATGGTTGAACGTTGAGCACTGAGTACTGTCAAGTGCCGAGCGCCCAATACCGAAAGACAACTCGCTGGGTGACTTCCTTGCTACTCTCCATTCCTTACTTATAGACGATATCAGGCCAGGAAACGATTTCTACAGCCGAGGCTTTGCAGAGATATACAATGTAGCTGACGAATTTGTGACGAAAATAATATTGCTGCGTACGCCGCGTAAGCACAGACCCTCGTACGGATATAAAAGCAGGCCCTACGTGTCCCTGTGGACGATTCGACTGGGTAAATCCTACAAACTTCACGATGGCGTCCACCGAAGGCAATCCCATCAGATTCTTTGACCTCGATAGCCAACACAGACCATATTCCCCAATGACGTGGTGCACTCGGTAAGCACTATCGCAGTTCTGAATGGACACACCGCTGACTATGCCTTTCGATTTCACCTAGCCTCGTCCTCAATTATAAGCAGCTGTCATACCGCACGGAATGGGTTCCCTTCGCAGACGTCGCAAAGACGATGAAGCAAAACCACGTCCCACCAACCATGGAAACGGAACCATTCTATACCGTTCCTGCCATTATCGACAACAGCCGCTTGCAGTCTGGAAGAGAGCCCATGATTGTTTGCGACTCCCTCGCCATCGCACGATACCTGGACGAGACTTATCCTGGTCATCCCATCTACATTCCTCTGGGTAGAGAGCTTGTCGAACTCCATATGCAGGAGATCTATGCACTGCAGCGCGCATTCATGCACATGTGTGTAGCACATACTTCGCGACTTCTGGAAGACCGCCACAAGGACGCTTTCATCGCCACCAGGACTAAATATTTCGGTACAGTCGTAGCCTGCATGCTGGTAGCATTCGCTCATGCTTTTGCAAACAGGGGTACATCCTGATGATCTCTTCGCACCAGACAGGCAGGAAGCGACCTGGAAGACCGTGTACGACGGCCTAGAAAGGTTGTCAGACTACATTGAAAGTCTGGAGACATACCGCCCAGGCGCGGCGTTCCCATTCGGGGGAGACGCGCCTTGCTACGTCGATTTCGTGCTGTGTGCCGCTCTGATTTGGTTCCAGAAGTGTAGCCCCGAGGGTGCCTGGGAGAAGATCAAAGATTTGAATGGGGGGAAGTGGCAATGTCTGCGGAAAAATTGCGAGCCTTATTCACAGGTTTTGTAATTTACGATTGGGTTGATTTCTGTAAATTGGAGGTGCACAAGTCGTGACGCTACCACTGGAGGCATATGCCAATGTTATACAAGAAATCATTTTGAAATCATTGTTCAAACAGATTCTTTGTTTTCATCATGTTCTCGCAAAAATGATTTAAAATGTTCTAGACCCAGCCAGCCAATCAGGGCCCTGGATTCACCATGTTCTAGGTAC